AAATAAAAAAAACATTTAATTCGTGAATGATGTTCATTTACTCTTTTAAACTGTACGTGCACATAGTTACATATATATTTGATTCTCTCAAGATTCTTAAAAGGTGTTTTTTTGTTTAGATTTATTTATTTATTCATTTACTGTTTAATAAAATCTTTTATTATTTTATTTCATTTAAGTCAATGTTGTTTATCTCGTCTTTTAAACTATGTGCACATAATTACAAAACAGTATTTTCATTTAATTAATTTAGCTTAATTTGATTTGATTTTATCTGAAATCTAGCGTTTCGGTAAGGAAACTTCTCTAAATGCAGATTCTGAGCTCAGATTTCCATCAGAGAGCTAAAAGTATATTTTTTCCTGAAATCAAATCCTCCTTTTAGGGGCTGAACAGAAGCGGGAACAAATGTAAAACAGAGAAAGACCTTCAGCTAAACAACAAAGCGTTTTAAAACATGTGTCTTTAATGCCAGAGCAGGAAAAAAGCTCTTTGTTTGCTTTTTGTGCTCAAAACCCCCTTATTAGTCAATGGGAAATTAGTCAATGTTTAATCCGGGGCTCGGTTCCTTGTTTTATTCAACCGGTGAAGCAAATCTGATTATAAAAACGTCCGAGAGCAGGATTTGTGATCATTCAGACAGGATGGCTCTGCAAGAAGTCACACTTTTGGGAATTATTCTTCTTTTCTCAGGTGGGCTCATTTTTATTAGTGATTTTTGGAAATTAATATTTTGATTCATTTCTCAGCGAATGTAAGGCAATGTATTTTGGTGCATTTAAACAAAACAGATTTAATAAACAGATATATTTATTGAAAGAATATTTAGAGACCAAACATATTTAGAAATTGAAAGATGATGCATTTAAAGTCTAGCAAAATATTGCAAAAAAAAAATAAAATACAACCTATAAAATTTCAACAAATTTTTTTGCTTTTTGATTTTTCGTCTTTTTAAAATGTGTATTTAATATTTTTCTATAACTTATAGATTTGTCTGTACTAGTTTTTAGATCGTTATCGTAAGTTGTTTTGTTAGGTAAGCTCCAGATTTGGCTTCAGTATTGACTAGTCTAATGTATATGCACAAATATAATATTGTAGAGCTTCCTATTAACTATATATATATATATATATATATATATATATATATATATATATATATATATATATATATATATATATATATATATATATATATATATATATATATA